CTGAAACACAAAGAAACACAAACATCAGAAAAGTACACGAGAAAAGTACAAGTACACGATGAAAGTACACGAGAAAAGTACAAGTACACGAGAAAAGTACAAGTACACGAGAAAAGTACAAGTACATGAGAAAAGTAAAAGTACACGATGAAAGTACACGAGAAAAGTACAAGTACATGATTAAAGTACACAGGAAAAGTACTAATACTGCAAATACTATTGATTAAACCAGGTCTAAACCAGATCTAAACCAGGTCTAAACCAGGACTAAACCAGGTCTAAACCAGGTCTAAACCAGGTCTAAACCAGGACTAAACCAGGTCTAAACCAGGTCTAAACCAGGTCTAAACCAGGACTAAACCAGGTCTAAACCAGGACTAAACCAGGACTAAACCAGGTCTAAACCAGGTCTAAACCAGGTCTAAACCAGGACTAAACCAGGTCTAAACCAGGTCTAAACCAGGTCTAAACCAGAACTAAACCAGGTCTAAACCAGGACTAAACCAGGTCTAACCCTCCAGTCTTACAGACTGTGGAGGAGGCTGAGTGTGTTGCTCAGAGGCACATCAGAACAGAGTATGTGTCCTGGTGAGCTGGCGGTGAGTTGGTGGTTAGATGGCGCTGCTCGGCCTCCTGAGCCACAGCCCCGGAACATTCCTCAAGAAGGTGTGAAGAGGGCGGAGCCACGTACCACACACACCACTGTACTTCTACTGCAAACTGTACTTCAAATACACCACAAATACTTCTACTGCAAACTGTACTTCAAATACACCACAAATACTTCTACTGCACACTCTACTACAAATACTTCTACTGCACACTCTACTACAAATACTTCTACTGCACACTCCACTACAAATACTTCTACTGCACACTCCACTGCAAATACTTCTACTGCAAACAGTACTTCAAATACACCACTGTACTTATACTGCAAAGACTTCTACTGCAAACAGTACTTCAGATACTTCTACTGTGAACAGTACTTCAAATACTTGCAAACAGTACTTCAAATACACCACAAATACTTCTACTGCAAACTGTACTTCAAATACACCACAAATACTTCTACTGCACACTCCACTGCAAATACTTCTACTGCAAACAGTACTTCAAATACACCACTGTACTTATACTGCAAAGACTTCTACTGCAAACAGTACTTCAGATACTTCTACTGTGAACAGTACTTCAAATACTTCTACTGCAAACAGTACTTCAAATACACCACAAATACTTCTACTGCAAACTGTACTTCAAATACACCACAAATACTTCTACTGCACACTCTACTGCAAATACTTCTACTGCACACTCTACTGCAAATACTTCTACTGCAAACAGTACTTCAAATACACCACTGTACTTGTACTGCAAATACTTCTACTGCAAACAGTACTTCAACTACTTCTACTGTGAACAGTACTTCAACTACTTCTACTGTGAACAGTACTTCAAATACTTCTTTGGCAAACAGTACTTCAGATACTTCTACTGCACGCTCTACTTCAAATACTTCTACTGCAAACAGTACTTCAGATACTTCTACTGCACGCTCTACTTCAAATACTTCTACTGCAAACAGTACTTCAAATACTTCTACTGCAAACAGTACTTCAAATACTTCTACTGCAAACAGTACTTCAAATACTAAACCAGGTCTAAACCAGGTCTAAACCAGGACTAAACCAGGACAAAACCAGGACTAAACCAGGACTAAACCAGGTCTAAACCAGGACTAAACCAGGACTAAACCAGGACTAAACCAGGTCTAAACCAGGACTAAACCAGGTCTAAACCGGGGAGAGTCCGGGTGGGGTCAGGTCTTTAGATCCACATAATAAAGTCGATCTCCACCCTGAGTCTTTTTCACTGAACAAAACAAACAGACGCCTCATTCACTGTGATCCTCCGACGCACACAACACTCTGCTCCACCTCATGATGTCATCGAGTGGACACATCAGCTGACCCGGAGTCACCCGGGTCACCTGGGCGGGTCGCACCGGGTCGGACTCGACTCAGAACCGCAGAACAAACGGACGGACAAAGACGAGACAAAGACGAGTTCTGAGGGACGTCGCCGCAGCCTCGGCTCCCAACGAAGCTCATGGAGGCCAGCCGTATCTAAGCCGGGGCCTGTCAATCAAACCTGTCGCTAAGGCCGGGGCGGGGGCTCGGGGGGAAAAAAAGGCGTCTGATTGGTCGATTTTGAATGTTCGGATCTGGATTTACGGAGAAAATACAATGTTTAAATAAAAAACAAAAGGATCACGTGGAGAGAAAGAGAAAGAAAGAAAAAAATGTTGAAGCGCAAAACCTCGGGGTCATGTAGAGCGGGGTCAAAGGTCAAAGGGTCAAAGGTCAGAGATCAGAGAGAGGGAGGAGCCTGACAGCAGCTGCGTCACGCCCACGAGCACTTCCCCGTCCGCGGTTGGAGGACAAAGGTTTCGTCACATTTGGAGTCGAGAGTCTCGGTCGCCACGGAGACGATCAGAGGCTAAAACACGACCGGAGCAAAGCATCATGGTCCTTGTAGTTCCACGGTGGAGCCACGGGAGGAACAGGTTCAACCGCCTCCGTCTGACCCACGAGACGCACACACACACACACACACACACACACACACACACACACACACACACACACACACACACACACACACACACACACACACACACACACACACACACACACACACACACACACACACAGTCACACACACACACACACACACACACACACACACACACACACACACACACACACACACACACACACAGCACACACACACACACACACAGCACACACACACACACAGTCACACACACACAGTCACACACACACACACGTCACACACACACACAGCGCACAGTCACACACGCACACACAGTCACACACACACACAGTCACACACACACACACACACACACACACAGTCACACACACATGTGCACAAACAGCTGACTCCGCAGTTTTCTGGTGATTTCTCAAACCTCTGATTTTATTTTTTATTTTTTATTGTCCAGGCCTGTGCTTTTTTAATTTAATTTAATTTTATTTTTGTGTGAGTTGAAGTTTTTTTAAATTTTATTTTATTTTTTGTTAGACTGTGTGTGTTTATTTTATTTTTTATTTATTTGTGTGTGTTAGCCTGTGTTTATTTGTATTGTGTAAGCCTACAAATACTAAAATTACAATTAGTACTACTACTACTACTTCAACTACAACTACTACTACTTCAACTACAACTACTACAACTACTACAACTACTACTTCAACTACAACTACTACTACTTCAACTACAACTACTACTACTTACAACTACAACTACTACAACAACTACTACAAACTACAACTACTACTACTTCAACTACAACTACTACAACTACTACTACAACTACAACAACCACTACTACAACAACTACAACTACTACAACTACTACTACAACTACAACAACTACTACTACAACTACAACTACTACAACTAACTACTACAACTACAACAACTACTACAACTACTACAACTAGTACAACTACTACAACTACTACAACAACTACTACTTCAACTACAACTACTACAACTACTACAACTACTACTACTACTACAACTACTACAACTACTACTACTACTACAACTACTACTACAACTACTACTACTACTACACCTTTTTAATCTTTTTGTTCAGAATAAAAGCGTCTGGTTCACACTTTCACAAACGCTTCAGGAACGAGAAGAATGTTCCAGAATTTGGAGCAGATGTGAAAGACCAAAAGACCAAAGCCAGAGAGTCAGATGCCCTCCCACACCCCCCACACCCCCCCACCCCCCCGTACCCCGGAGAGTCAGATGCCCTCCCACACCCCCCCGTACCCCGGAGATTGATATTTTCCCCTAAAAAATGTCCCAAAGAACGTGAGGAGCGAGCGCTGTGTGACGAGGGGGGGAAAGTGTGTTGCTCAAGGGCACAGCGTCAGAGTCAGAGTCAGGTTCAGGGCGCTCTGTTTCTGCTTGTTTACCTCGTGTTTACGGTGTCGGTCTGTTTCCACGGCAACAACACAGCCTATGAGAGCCTTATGGAAACAGCCTACTGTGGAGCTACACTGTAAAATCTGAAAATACACACACTATACACACTATACACACACTATACACACTATACACACACTATACACACACACACTATACACACACATACACACACACACTATACACACACACACTATACACAGACACATACACACACACTATACACACACTATACACACTATACACACACTATACACACACTATACACAGACACATACACACACTATACACACTATACACACTACACACACACTATACACAGACACACACACTATACACACACACACACTATACACATACACACACTATAACACACACAACTATACACACATACACACACACACACTATACACAGACACATACACACACACTATACACACACTATACACAGACACATACACACACACTATACACACACTACACACACACATACACACACACTATACACACACTATACACAGACACATACACACACACTATACACACACACACACACTATACACAGACACATACACACACACTATACACACACATACACACACACACACTATACACACACTATACACACACATATACACACACACACACACTATACACAGACACATACACACACACTATAACACACATACACACACACTATACACACACACTATACACACACACACTATACACACACTATACACAGACACATATACACACATACACACTATACACACACTATACACAGACACATACACACACACTATACACACACACACACACACACACACACTATACACACACACACACTATACACACACTATACACAGACACATACACACACACTATACACACACTACACACACTATACACAGACACACACACTATACACAGACACACACTATACACACACTATACACACACTATAC